TCATTATACAGCGCAATGGAGAATACCACCAGCTATAGAGGACTACAAATCCCAGCAATAATACATTATATACAGCGCAATGCAGAGTAACGCCAGCTACAGAGGACTACAAATCCCAGCAATAGTACATATGTAGTATAATGTAGTATTGCTACATTCCTCTATAGCTGCTGGTATTCTGCACTGCGCCGCTGTATTATGTACTATATTGCACACCACACTCTTTTTTTTACTTCTACCGCGCCAAGCTTGCTCCCGTGATGGACTACAATCTCACCACAAACTAGTAGTCCATCACTGGAGCCTTTTTTTTTTTTTATCCGATTAATCGAACTTAATAATCGGCCAACTAATCGATTATGAAAATAATCGTTAGCTGCAGCCCTAAACCCCAGGCTATTGCACGCCGTAGTTGAAAGGCTTAGGCCATCTTTTGCAAAAATGTAATAAATGCACCCACATTAAAAGAGAACTAAAGCCAAACTTTTTTTTTTTTTTTATACTTTAGTTCTCTTTTGGGTCACAGAAGTACATTTAGCAATGTCTTCCTGTGACCCAGACTCAGCATATAGTGGGCTACTGTGGCTGGCGCCAATACTCCCAGAGTCTGCTATATGCTGACAGTACCAGCCAGGAAGGATCCCCACAGTATTGCTGGGATTCACCCCATTGCCAGATTGACAGCTGACTCTGCCTCGCTAGGGCCAGAGCCAGCTCTGCCCACTCCCTCCACTCTCTGTCCCTCCAATGAGCACTGGAGGAATAGAGGGGAATTCCTATGGAAAGGAATGGCTGACACAGTGTCACACACCAGCTCAAAGTATTGGGAAGTGTACATTATATTTTCGCAATACTTCTCATTTAAAAAGGAGAGAGCATTGCAACTGTGATCAGTGCATAGCAGTAGCAATGCACAGGCTCCTGCATTTACATCCCATTCCCATGGTATCTAAGGAAGTATGGACCTCCTATGGGGCTGGAGGAAGTCAACAATGGACTACTAGAGCAGAACTCTGTGACTCCCTCTGCTGTGTAGTTACCTATTTACAGATCCCGGTGTATGGATCATGCATCTGTGTGGATGGAGCCACACACATAGCTGCACTAAACTAAAAAAAAAAGAGGACCTTTCTGGGGGAAGCGCGCCCCCCACACCATTCTGCTAAGTGGTGGGAGATTGAGGAATGCCACCGGTAACATGAAACATGATCACAAAGGTGGAGTATGCCTTCAAGCTAAGTATTTACAGGAAAATAAAATGTGACAGTCTGAAAATATCCAAATTAGCATATGGCACTATCAGGAATTTATCAAAGATAAAGGCAGTTTTTTCTTTCTCTATGTAAAATATAAATTGTATATTAACACCAGCATAAACATCTGACCTGTTTATTGGGGATTGTCGTTTGCTTGGCACTGTACTTATTGGTGTATTATTGTTACATGTTGTTCTCATTTATTTTAGAGTGACTATTGCAGGTATAACCCGTAATTAGATTTTTGATTTTTTTTTTTGCTTCTCTTCAGATAACTACAAGTGCCCGGGACCTTCAGTATGAAGATTATTTTGACCCAGTAGAGGGGGATGAGACTAAGACAGACAGACAAATTAGAGGAGAAGAAGAAAATGAAAGGTCAGATGATGATAAAGAGGAAGATGGGGAAGAACATGGCGATGAGGAGGAGGAGGACATGGAAGAAGCGTAAGATCTTATTTGGATTTGCACTGTTCTGTTTATTGGTTAGAATTCATCTTTATCTAAGCTGATATTAAAGCTGAACTCCAGACTGATAGAAAAGAAACAAATATATGGACACATACTTTGGCAAGTAAAACCACTCCCTTATGTGTATTTAGCTGTATGTCTGGAGTTCAGCTTTCTAAATATACAGTCATGTTCATCATCTTTAGGTTACTGTTCCTTTAGTTGGGGTTAGGATGAGACATCTTGTCAGCATAGGAGGACTGAAACTGATCTTCTACTGTAACACATTTCTCATATTTGTTATGTATTCTGTAATTAAATGGTAGTTACTGTTTAGTTTTTACCTTTTTCTTCAGCAGTAAAACCAGAGAGGGAGGCATTACATGTACTCACTGCTGAAAAGATGTTTCTCAGTGTGGGCTCTGCGTCACCCTCCATACATGCAGGAGAGACGGTGCCTTCAGCATAAAGAATAGTTGTTGTGTCCCAGGAGTCATATGCAGTGTCTCTGCTCTCGGTATTTACTGTGGCACACTGTAACTTGGGGTCCCATGGTATTACCGAGCCCTGTCACATTTTGTCAGTGGCACCCTGGGATGGTGTGCAGGTGAACCTCTCCAGTGTCTGCACTACCTCCTTGTGTGTCTCCCTGGGAGGCCTCTGTTGGCTGGGCGCCACCTTGGAAAGGCTGGCTTGCTGTACCAGGATCGTCTTTATTGCACTTGGTCCTTAGTCACAGGTGGACAGGCCACCCACTGATGAATGCTGCAGATTGTAGCGGTTCAGGTGAGGGGGGTTATGAGAACCGGGAAAATGTGGTTTATCCTGCTGACAGGATTAATGTGAGTGTCTGGAGAGACGAAGCAACCCTCGGATCACATGGTCTTTCAAGCCTTTGGTTGGAGAGTGATTGATTACTTCAGGCTGTGGATACAACACCTTTCCAGGGACTAGAAGTATTAAGGGCGGCATATTTGCTTAAATTGGATGTAAACCCTAAGGCCTCATTTAGACGGGGCCTATACGTCCGCTGCACACATCCGTAAATGGGACCGATCCCAGGAGGGACAGGGTAATTGCGTGTAGCAGCCTATTCTTCACTATGGGAGGACACAGCTATACACTGTCATCTGCACACCCGAGCTTGCACGTTTGGGTGTCCGCAATTGGACGCAGACAGGCAATTACACGCAGCTCTTGACCCTCCCAGGATCGACCCGTTTTCAGGTGTGCACGCCTCGTCAGAATGAGGCCTAACAATTAACTTCTATTAGTTACTTTCTTTAAGTCCAATAAATATGCCATTGAAAGGACTTGTTAAAAATGTTTCATAAGTGCAAAAAAAAAAACTGTTGATTTTGCCAGAAATCATGTGAGCTGAAAACTTCCTGTGCACAAGGAGTGGGTTATAGATATGTGTAAAGGGCTGTGTCCTGTGTAATCCATCAGAAATTAAGTAGGCAGGGCTGGCACCACGTGCTTAGGAGTTCAGAGCCAAAAATACACTGAGTTGTCAACTCAGAAGAAGGTAGGAGCACAGTATATTTCTGGCCCATCAACAGTTAGTTTTCTGTACTTGCAGCGTGTTTGAAGAGAAAAACACATGGGAAACATGCATGTATTGCAAAGTTGAACTCCTATTTTTTCCTTGACATAGACTTTACCAGCTATTTGGGAGATAAACTCCACTAAAGCTTGTGCAAGTCTTGTCGGGGGCAAAAACAGGAAGCTTAACATACAGCAATTATCTTGTGGTGTTGCCTGTGGTCCTCTGTTGTTTGCCCTTCCTGTGAAGACTCGTGATTTAAATCTTTCAGCAGTGAATTGGATGATTATGACGAAGGGGATATGATGGAGGAAACCGAAGAAAGCAAAAAAGCAAAGAAGGCCTTCAAGAGGGTGACATTTGACCTGTCAGATGGTAGTGAAGGGGAAGATGTTGCTGACATACTTGGTGGGAAGAAGAATGAAGAAAAACCTCAGGAATTGAAGTCCTCGTTTGAGAAAAGGGAAGACAAGGTTAGTGTCTGAGAGAGTGTGAGAGCATAATAACCGATCTCATTTCATTCTTTTTCTGTAGTTGTAATGACAAAGCTGCTGGTATATAAAAATAGAAGCTTTTTATCAATCATAAACCTCATTTATGTGTGTTCTGAGTCACCATATCCAAAAAAATCTTGGAATTTGTGAATCCTGATTGTCTGTCTGAATTCATAAACTGCAGACTGGACAAATCTAGATACACAAATTATGGTAATGTTCCAGAAAAGATCAGATCTGACAATTTTTATTAAACTTTGACAAGTGTACCTAAATAGCCTTGCTAAACATAATGTCTTCTATTCTAAACATTCCTGTGATTGAAATAAAAACACCAAAGGGGTGTAGCTTTTCTTAGCTCCTCCCTGGGCTCCAGAGCTACTGTGCATTCAGCTGTATGGATGGAGGTATGCTAGAACAGCGAATAAAACTTCAAATGTCTTTTAGATTGTAAGCCCTCGGGGGCAGGACCCTCCTTACCATCTTGTTTTGATTTGTATTGTGATTGTAATGTCTTCCAAACATGCAGCCATTATGGTTCAAACAAAGCTGTGAGCAGCACCACTTCACCCTTGGTCTTGCAGCAGGTCCATGTACATGAAACGTTTGAAGTGCATGTCCACATATATTCCTTTTTTATATGTGCTACTTTTCTAGTTGGTTTTCAGAGCAGGATTATACATGGGACTCTAAAGGCATCTTGCAAGCTATTGTGAACAAAGAGCATTAACATACAATGTACCATGCAAGCGTTCATATCTATAACCCTTTGTTATAGTCCATGTGCACAGTACAGGCAGGGTTGATTATGGCAAACATAACTCCCCATCTCGCTCCCTAACATTACATTGAAGGGGAAAACTGGGTAGTATATTTCAACATGTAAAATTTAAGTAGCAATTTTTAAAGTTGAAACGTGATACATTTAAATTAGATGTTATCCCAATTTGGCTGTAAAAGGGGAAATAGACTTTTAATGGGTTTGGACAAATAATTGAATGCTAACACATGGAAGGATGCCCACCCCTTTAAGCAAGAGAACACCCAGCTCACTGCGTGGGTGCCCACCCTTGTGTTTTTGCCTAATGCATTATGCATTAAAATTGATGAAAATGTATAAAAAGGCATCTCAACGTGAGTTAATGCACATTGACCTGTACTAAGTGCATTGCAATGCACATTATAATGCATTGATGTGCATTTTGATGCATTTTCATTGATTTTTAATGAAATACACATCAAGCAAAAATGCACCAAAACTCAAAGGTGTGAATGGGCCCTTCGAGGTTTGTCAGCACAGCTCTGGTTTATGTTTCTGTAAATGCATGTTTACATTGATATTTTTTTTTTTTTGCCGGACGCATTCTTTAAATAAAAAAAATGCTTTAAAATGTATATACATATAATACATATGCACTGTGTGTGTGTGTATGTATGTATGTATGTAAGTATATGTATATATATATATATTTG